CCCGGCGGGGGGGGCCGACCCCCCAGCCACGCCGAGCCTCAGCGTACGCTGCCGGCCCCGGGCTGCTGGCCCTGCCTTCTGCACGCCTGTCCTCAGCCTCCCAACCCCCGTCACCCTCCTCCTTTCTGGCTGCTCTCCAGGGGGCTTTGGGCCTCAGTCTGCACCACGGGGGTGTGACTGGACGGTCCCGCAGGCTCAGTGGGGCAGCGGTGCTGCATGCCGACCCTCGTTCCTCTCCAGGGCCTGGCCTGCGGGAGCCGCTCCTCAGCTTTGGTGTCATGTACTCTGGGCACCAGGAAAGGCGGGGAGGAGTGGGCCTGACTCACAGCAGGGGGCAGCCTGGAGCACACCCTGGGGCTGAGCTGGTGGGCAGCAGAACTCAGAGCAGAAGCCTGTGCCCACTGTGCTCCAGGGCCTGCCCCCGCCTACTACATGCGACGGCCTCGCTGTCCTCCCTGACTCCCCAGGGACACTCACTGGTGTGGCTGTGAAGGGACGGCCCGGGCTGACACGGGCTGGGCCATGCTGTCCAGAGCTTGGTGCTGGGGCCCTCCTTCCCCCACCCAGGCTGTGGGGTCAGAAGGGAGCAGGAACAGTACCCGACCTGCGGCAGCGGCCCAGCCTGACCACAGCAGGGCCCTGGGGCTTGCCGCCCCCCTCCGGCCCATACAGACATGCCCTAGGATGCCTGCCCTGCTGCCCCGTGTGCTGCGTGCCCCTGCTCCTCTAGCCCTGCCTGGCCTTCCAACCCCACCTGCAAGAAGCCCTCCTGAACCAAGAGCTAAGACGGCACCAGGCAGACCCGGTGCCACTCACAGTCATTGGCGCCCTTGCCCCACACCCCCAAGAGTACCCCAAGTGGCCCCTGTATGGGCCACAGCATCTCTGGCCTGGACACCCCCACTCGTCCTGTTCCTGTCCCGTTCCTGCCCCTAGCCTCCACGCACCCTCCTAAACCCCACACAGCCTTCAGATTGCCCATAGGTTCCCCCAGAGCCTATCAAAGCCACCCTACTGGCCCTGGAGCCCACCCCACAACCTGGCACCCAACTCCCCTCGGGTCCCTGCCCTGTCCTGTCATGCTGCACTTCCCAGGCATGGCCTCCTCGGGCCACACTCTGCATCTCTGCAGGGCCTGAGCCGTCCTCCTGCCTTCCGCTACTCCACCCGTCATCACCTCCTCCAGGAAGTCCCTCTGCCCTACTCACCCCTTGAGAACCCCCTCGACAGTGCCTAGGAACCTTCCTAGCTCTCGCAGTGTCCCACGGCCAGGACGCAGCCCAGCTCACAGGCCACCCTCGGCACCACAGGGGTGGGGAGGGCCTGCTTCCCCAGGCCACCTCCTCGTCAGGGTCTCCTCATAGGGACACTGCCCACCCTGGGAGGACGCGGTCTTGGGAAAGCCCCGGCCCTGGGCTGCCAGGAGCAGTGCAGCTCTGCGGCCCTGTGGTCTCTGCTTCCCTAAGCCCCACAGGCCACTGAGAGCAGCCACTGGATGAAAGTCTGGGTTGGGGTTATTAAAGGATGAGGGATTCTGAACATCACCCTTAGCACCACCCCAGACAAGCACCCTCCGCCCCAACATACACATGTGCACCCCCACACACGGACACCGTGATCCTCAGGCCCTGGTGTCCATGCAGCCCCGTCAGTCCGCGGCCCTCTGGAGGCCTCTCTCAGGAGGGCTTCAGGGTTCCTGAGGCTGCCCAGTGCCCGACGGGGGGACAGGTAGACTCGGCCCTCTTCTGGGCAGCCAACCTCGGCTAGCTTCACCTTCGCCGGGCCTGGGGCCAGCGCCAGCCAGGTCAGACGGAGCCTGCAGTCGGATGTGGCGGGGCCGGGGCCCGGGGGGGTGGCCCGGGGGG